GAAAAAAGCTGCTCCGCGTCTCCCTGCTCTGCAGACCAGGAAGACGCGGAGCAAAGCCGCGGAGGGGCTCGGGCAGCAGAGCAGCCCAGGCGCGCCTGGGCTGCCTCGCTGCCCGAGCCCCTCCGTGGCTTTGCTCTGCGTCTTCCTGGTCTACAGACCAGGGAGACGCGGAGAAAGCCACGGAGTACACGGGTGGCAGGACCGCGAGGTCCCGCAGTCCGTGTCCTCCAGGGCGAGCCCCGTTCGTAACTGCGGATCCGACATAAGTCGGATCCGACATAAGTCGGGGACTGGCTGTAGTTCATGTCTTGTTTCCTGTTTATAATACGGAGATAAAGACAAAGAATGGGTTGTCTATTGGGTTTATAAAATTTGAGTCCCATATCTATACAGAAACCAGCCAATAAGAGCTGCAGAGATGATGATTGCAGATGCCAGCAACTCATGGAGACACATTGTCCCTTTCTCCCTAAGGAGCATGCAGAGGCATGCCAGTAGATGGCAGCTTTTGGGAATGGCATGGGGCCATAGCTTGGAGGCAGCCTTAAGAGTTTCTTGCTGGACTTTCAGCAGCCTGAAGATTGCAATTAACTGGCTGTATCTCCAGGATCAGCCAGCAGATCGTGATGAATAGGTTGGTGTAACTACTGATATAGACAATGGAGCAAACTGAATAGTGATTTGTGAATACTAGTGCAAATTGCTTGTAGTTGCAAAGTGGTCAATAAGCAGGTAGGAAAAACTTGAACTGTTGACAGAGTAGAAAGAAGTATAGTAGGGAAAAATAACTATCGGGAAGAAAAGTAATGTCTGTGAATATAGATGCATTATTTTACAACTTCTTTTATTATTTAATGTTCCAGTTTTGTTTCTTCGTATGAAAAATTATAGAGTTGATAGTTCGTGTTAAATCTTGTTTTTTCCCTTCTTTAGTGTTTTACTGTATAATGGTGAATTTATATCACTTTTGCAGATAAGTAGCTTAATTTTGATACGAGAAAACTAAGTTTTACAAATGCCCTTAAACTTTGAATGGCATTATTTTTCTTTTAAGTAATTACTTAAAAGTAATAACCAAAGGTTCTTCATTTGACTAATATTCTAGGTCTGTCAAGAAACATGGTAAAAGATATATTTTTGGCTCAGGTTGAATAGTTGTTTGATGAAGCATTTCCGTAAACCCAGGTAACTACTCGAATGCTACATCAGTAGCTATAATTATGTGTCTTATGCATTTCTTTTGCTTTTAGCTTTCTGTCCCCCCTAATTGCTGAGTATGATAAACATCTGGAGGAAATGAGTGAACAGCTGCAGTACTATCAGGTATGAATCATACCACTAGAAATATTTTAGACTGTAATTATTTAAAGAAAAAATGTGCAATTAAAATATAAAGTTTCCATCTTCATATTTATTCATTTAAAAATTAGGAAATAAAAATATAAGTACCAAATTTAAAAGAAACTAAGTCAATATAAGATGAGAATGTAAATTTTGAAAATGATGTGTTTGATGTTTAATATTGAAGCATAGTTCTTATAATCTGAGGATAAAATATTCCAGAAGCTAATTTGACTTTGCATTTGACAACCTTCTAAAATTCCATTAATTTTAGACTACAATGTCTGCAATTAGTAGTAATATTTCACTCCTTTAGTGCTAATATCTTACTGTATTCATTTCTGTTGAAGGAATGGTTTTATACTAATTTTTAATGTTTCACTAGATACTACCTTTTTTTGAAAGGAGGTGTGACAATTTCTTGTCATTTCAATTTCTTGTCATAGAAAAGAATATACTCAACCTGCCCGATACAGTGTCTGCAGCCATGGAAGTAGACTTGAAACATTAAATATGTCTATTGGCATGTTCCTAGCACATAGGAGTAGCAAGAATCCTGTTTTGTGAAATATTAAATAGTTTTTATGTTCTTTAAATGAGCCCATTATACAGGAACACCTATCTACATTAAACTCCAAAAAACAAGTTCAGTGATTATTTTGTTATTGCGGTGTGACTTCAGTGCTTAGAGGCTCTGTGATTTAAATGTAAAAAGTTCAGGGTCAAATTTTACTCTTTCAGGCACAGATGGGAGAGATGAGACTAAAACTTGAACAAGTCACCAAGGAAAATGAAGGGTAAGTTAATTAATATACTTTTTTAGAAATAGAACATTTTAATAATTGAAAATATTTCTATGGATCAGGAACATAAACCTCTGAACCTATGGATTGTAGTCAAAATTTTCATACCTGCATGTTTAAACTTAAGGTCTTAGGTGTGTTGAGGAACTCAGGTTTGGAAATTTGGACTACTTATACACATAATTAAACAGGGAATAAACCAAATTTGATATTTAGAAGTCAGTGTACACATTCTTGTGTGTATTGTGCAAAGTGTGGTTTTGTGTGTGTGTGTGTGTGTGTGTGCACACATTCTTGTGCAAAGTGTGGTTTTTTGTGTGTGTGTGTGTGTGTGTGTGTGTTAAACATCTTGTGATGTACGTAATGAAGAAGAGAATAGACTCCACACTTGCTTGCCTTTCTCTTGCTTCTCTCTATAGCAGTTTCTCTTCCCAGAGTCTTCTTTTGCTATAACGTGGGTTCTGGGATTCTACATTTGTTCTGATCCCCTCACTCCTCCACATTTTTTTCTGACACTAATCTTTACACTATTAATATTTTCCAAAATATTAAAATGTGCTTTAAAGTCAAAGACTACTCAACGTAGGAATTGTACATAGTATCAGCATGATCAGTATGCAACTTAGTTTCCACTGTTCTATCCTCTTGCTCTCTCACTAGGTTAATTAGGACGCCCAAATTGTCCTCTTGTTAATACCTCTAACATCACTCAGATTTTTGTGGTGCCTTAACAGAAGAGTAGGGGAGAAGTCCATTAGGACACATTCTGAGTCATGACCAGGTCCACATTGAATCAACTGTATATGGTGCCGTCCACTGAACCTACTGTCTCACTGTATATGGTGCCTTCCCTTCCCGCAGCTCTGTTACCAAAATTATCCTTTGCTGGGAGGATGAAAATAAGTATGAGTTTGTTTTAGGTTTCTATTAAAGCTTATCTTGATGAGTCAGCAGGTGTAGTCACTTGAGACACACATTAACAAAATTTAAGTGGGTGGCATCAGCTTCCATCAAGATACTAAGAAAAATACTGGTATTGAAATGCATTTGCTGGCATCCTAACTGGTCTTCTGTCATGTCCATTTTATTAATACACATTGGACCTCCCTGGTATGACTTCTTCAGGGCTTGACCAGTCCCTGACAAGGGAGTTTTCCAGAATGGAGGTGGCGGGCTGCTAGCCTCTCTGTCGGGTTCCTCTCTTCAGCCACCATGGCTCCTCTCCCCAGCCTCCTGGCTCCACAAGCTTGCAGCAGCCTTGTTAGGGCTTCCAGCCCAACAAGCTGCGGCAGCCCTGCCGGAGCCCCCAGTGACCCCGCCAATCTTGTGGCAGCTCCACCAACCTCACAAGAGCCCTATTGTCCCACCGGGAGTTCCCAGTGGCCATGCTGGCTATAGGCTCTGCTACCCTGCAAGCTCCAGTGCCCCCATTGGCTTTCCTGCCATGCAGGCTCTGGCTCTGCTGTCCCCACCAGCTAGCTCCACTCTGAGCTGCTAGCCATCTCTGCTACTGGGCCTCTCTAGTCTTGCAACATACATGGTCCTTCTGGATCATGGATATTGCCAGATCAGAGTGTCTCAGACCATAGAGGTTCAGCCTGTACCTTTGTAATTACAGTAAATGTAGGGTGTACTTTTCAAGATTTTTGTGCACGTTCAGATAATTTCTTTGGTGCATATACATCAATGCATTTGACTTAACATTTTTATGGCAGAGTGCTAAGTGTCTTCTGACAGTTGCTAATTGTTAATAAACTACTAGGACTGCAAATCAGAGATGATAGACCAGCAGAAACTGTTCGTGGTTGTTTAAGCACAAATGCTGTGGCATGCAATCTTTATATCAATTATCATTACTATGCTGTAAAATAATTCAGTTTAATTCACATGATGGATTATATTTATGCAATAAGACATATTTTCAGTGTGACAGGTACGCAGAGTGAGAGCGAGAATCAAGCATGTAGTTTTGCTACATGACAGATTTTCTCCACTTCAGTAGTGGAATTTACATGTGTTTTCCCAGATATGCAAATCTTTGTTCTAGTGACTACCCAATACTGTGTTCTGGAGACCTCATGTGTTTTATTATCAGTTTAAATGGAGACACATTTTTATTAGCTGTGAAGCAGCTCTGAGATTTGAGTGCAAACACAGGAGGTGATTCAGGGACTCAGGAGAGGAACAGTGCAAATTGAAACAAATAATTAAAAAGCGAACTGTGTACACAAGCCTGTTAGACTTCTCATGTCATAGTCATTATGACATTTCTGCTGATTTTTTAATGTAAAAACGATAGTTACTATGCAAAGTAGTGACATATTTTGCTGTTAAGTGGTTATATTTAATATATATGCATACATACTGTTAAAAGGCAAGTTAACTGGTAATATAGTTAAATATTTTCAGATACTGCAACTGTCACTGGGACTCCTTGCCAATTTTTGTAGTTTAAAAAAAGACAATGACTTAAATATGTTTCTCTCTTCTGTTACTGTGTGACAGGCCCACATATATATAGGAGGAGAT